GAAGTTTCCTACGTATCCCAAGAATGGGAACCAGGTTAACGTAGTCCATGGCAAAGGTTCACTCGGGTGTTGACACTCTCCTTTTGTGCTTTAACTTTTGCCAAAGTTGCCCTTTCGGGTTTTCAATCTCGCGAATTTTACTTATTTGATTTCTCATTTTTTATGCTCTAACTTTTGCTTAGGTCACCCGTTCGAGTTTTGGCCTAGCGAGCCTTTCAAGGATAGTGTTACAACATTTGCGGTGAATTTGATCAATAGTCATCCTTGCCTTAACATTGGAACTGGCTTCACCTTGATTTGAGCTTAGTTCTCCATTCTCTTATGCATGTCTTCTTTTTTTCTTTTGCTTCATTTTCAAGGTTGGTTCTCCTCACAATGTGGTACCTCTTCGCATTGGCCTCCTCGGATTCAGAAAAAAGTTCATTTCCTCACAGTTGATTGGATTTTATTCCAGTGAATGCCCCTGGCTTAATGGTTGACTTCTTTGCCCTTTTTTCCTTTTCCTTTGCTTTTATTTTCTTCTTTTCTCTTTCTTTTCGTTTTTTATTCTTTTTTTATTCTTTTTCTTTTTGGATTCTTTTATCCATTTGTTTTTTGAAGTAATGAAAACAACAAGGTCAGAATTTCTACGACTATGAGGTCTCAAAGTTGCCCTGTGCTTGCCAAAATGAACGCCTATGGTAAAAAGAATCCCCAGGACAACGTTGAATACAACACACAATTCTGAACCTGTCTTCGCAATTTTTACAAAAGAAACAGCTTAAAATTTCGAAATCTTGCAGGACTCTATGACGACAATCTAGAACTCACTTGAACTATTTGGGGGATCCTTCTTAACACTCACGCTTATTAATGGAATCTCATTCAAAAACAAAATTTTTTTGAAGCTTTTCTATTTTCAAAAAGGTCACACATGAATTATTATAGGCACAGTAAAATGATCAAAATTTTGACTCTCATTTTCTTATTATTAAAACAACAAAACGAAGACCCGAGATACACGAGAGTGACTTGAAGGAAAAGACTCAACTAACACAGCGATGCAAGAAAAGACAAAGAAAATAAAACTCAAAATAATTATTTACAGGACACGACCCAAAACAAAATCAACACCCCAAAGACAAAAGGCGTTTTCACTCTCCAAATCCATCAGTGGAATTCAAAAACAACTTCAAGTAGCCCATGGGTGGGTTCAAACTTTCAAACTGAGTCTCACAAATTGAGCCTCAAAATTACCCGGGTTGTCTCCACACATCTCTTTGACCAAAACAAATTTTTTTTCACACCATGGCCCTAGTTCTTCAAATGCTTTCGAAAATTCCCCTAGCTGAGACTGAGGTTCATCATTCCAACCATCATTGTTGGCATCAGTTAAGGGAGCCCACTGCTTTATTTCAACATCATCAGGCTTACGATTGAGTAAATTTTCCACCTTTCGAAAGAATTTGTTCTTTTTGCTTTTCGTTCTCAGAACTTTTAAGGAGGTAGAGGCTAAAAGATTCAAGAATGAACATAATGGATTTGGGTATATTGATGGTTATGGTGTGTTGGCTAGGGTCAAGGTTGGTTGTTGGCAAGCCATGATTGGGATTTATGTTAGGGCTGGTTTGGGAACTCTTAAAAAATCCAAAAAGTTAAAAAGGTACAAAAAAAAAGTTAAAAAGTTATCACTATAAACCAAAACAAAAATATTAAAAAAATAATATACACATAATAATACAACTAATAAAAAAATGCAATTAACAAGGTACTGACGTGATGGGCCCGTCAGTGACCGGGAGAAAAAAAATTGGGAGTAAAATATTCATTAAATTGGATGGTAGAGTTGGGCCCGTGGGGGCCCACTATGGGTCCCGTTTTGATTATCTGAACTGTTCAATATGTAGAACTCGTCTAGTACTATGTGCTTGTAAAAAATCACGTCTATCGGATATCACTAAATACATGATCATATCAATTTTGTATAAAAATAGATGGTATCATAGTTAACAGTTAACAAAAAAACCAACACGATCAGATAGCTATCGATACTCAATCAATGTGATTTTTTACAAACATATAGTACTCGACGAGTTCTACACATTGAACTGTTCCGATTAGTAAAACGGGACCCGTGGTGGGCCCCCATGGCCAAATAAAACAGACTAATTTATGCCCAAAAAGTAGAGAATCAATCTCTTACACGCCCTCTGTCACGCTGCCCTTTAAGCTTCCAACTGTACAGCTTATACCATTACTTTATTCCCCTATACACTTATTTATATAATTCTTTCATACATATTTTTTCATAAAAAGTTAAAAAGTTAACTCAACCATCCATATTTTTTTCTTAACTTTTTAATATAAAAAGATAAAAAATATACTTATCTAAGATATTCTAAACAAACCCTTAAATAACATTTTAACTATATATATTTTTAAATAATATTATTTTTTATTAATTATAAAATTTATATTTAACATTAACCACATTTTAAAGATATTATCAATATCTTTTCAGTGATGCCAGCTTTATAAAAATTGGATTTATATGTCATTGATCGGACTGTCTTTTCAACGATACTAGCATTATAAAAATCCGATATATATGTACCACTGAGGTGTAATTATTTTTCTTGGTCGCATTTTCTTGCAATTTCGAAACAGCATGCTACGTATCATTAGAGGTGATATTTTAAAGCACCACTAATAAATTAGTATATATATTAGAAGAGTGGTGATTTATCTCATAAATTTTTTTATCACTAATAGTTCTAATAAGTTTAAAAAAAAAAAAACAAACTCAAGCCAAAACATCACATCACTTTGGTGGGACTACTGTGTCACATTATTAGTGATACTCTAAAGCTCCCAATTTAGTGCTCTAAAACATTATTCATATTAGAAATGAGTGAGACTTTTAAAATTAGAGCTTTAAAAGGACATTAATTTGTCCCATGTTTCCTCCTGTTTTGTCTTTTACCTTCCTCTATTTCCCTATACATATTTATAAAAAAAAAAAAGAAAAAAAAGAAAAAGATACAGCATTATCATATTATTAATATTACCATTAATTAATGATTTTAAGCATTTTTCAATTCGAAAAGGCCTCCCACTGATTTGGGAACCTTTTCTCTTGACATCACTTTTTTTTTTATAATTTTTTTGAAAAAAATATATAAAAAATTAGGAAAATAATATAACTTAAAATAAATTAAAACTCAAAAATAATTTTTAATCAAGTTTCGAAAATAAGCCGTTTTTAGCTGAAATACCGCTATCAATCAACAGCGACAACAACAGCTCATTTGCTTTTTCATTTCTTCCCTTTCTCCAAAATTAAAAATTCATCACAATTGGTCAAAAAATATATATATATAAATAAGTGTAAGAATTTATGTATTATTGATTGATTCTTGATTGATATGTTGATGTATTACAAGATTGATAAATTACAATTCCTATACAATCTATATATAGAAGAAAATGTGGTAGTAGGTGTAGTGGAGGTGATAGTGGGTTAGGTGAAGTGGAGTGTGTGGTGAAGTGGAGGTAGGTGAAGTGGAGTGTGTAGCGGAGTAGGTGAAGGTAAAGATGGGAAATTCTAACAGCCCCCCGCAAACTCAAGGAGGAGAGAAACTAACCAACTTGAGTTTGGAGAGAGTAACAAAACAAGAAAATACATAAAAATAAATGTACCATATGGTGAAAAATTATATATTTTTCAAAGAATGAAAATGTGTATATTTCATAGTGAGCAGAATATTCTATTTTGTGGTAAGAAAAATTATATTATTTTATAACTTATATTATAAAAATTTGAGGTATTATTACCATATATTCTGTATTAATTTGTATGATATTAAATTAGGTGATCATCCACGGGAAAGCGAACCAACATGGGTTGTCCAATTCTCAAAAGGTGCGCTCAATTTTTTAAAAAGGCGTGCCATCAAAAGGCGTGCCCAATTTATCAAAAGGTGCGCCGGACATGATGGCGAGGCGCGTGACTTGGCTTGCGCGCCCAGGTTGTCGTCTAGCGCCGAGCGGCGCATGATATGCGTGGCTGCTTTGGCTATATAACCAAGACGAAGGCAGAGGCTGAGGCAGAGAAAAACTGAGAGAAACCTTTGAAAAAATCCTTCGTGTTGCTGAGAAAGAGAGTTCCTTGTGCTGAGAGAGATAGTCTGTAACACTTTGTTGCCCAGAAAATGGCCTCGCCTTCCCGTGGACTGCTCACCCTCTTTCCCGACCTCAACGAGTCAACAAGAGAGAGAACTGGTGCGGTGGCACTGGAACCTCAACCAAGCGCCCCGGAGTTTACTCCGTTGGCATTGCATGGTTTTTGGAAAGAGATATAAAATGTTTTGACACGGGCATTGGATATCCATTCACCTTATAACTCCGTTAAGATTCATACACTGTGTTAGAGTATCTTTACTGGAGGCAATTCATAAATCAGCCGACCCATCAAATTTTTAGTTAGTTAGACAACTAATTAGTCGGCCGACCCGCCAATTTATGAACTCAAAATAATAAAAAAATACAGAAGTTGCGTAGGCTCAATGGTGTGTCCTTTCGAGTCGTGTTTTAAGTGGATGCGCGAGCAGAGATAAGCGTGCTAAGGGCAGAAAACAAGGAGCTGAAGCGGAAGGCCCCCGTGATGTTCCGATTTGGAGGGCCGCCATATGCTGCAGGGGAAGAGTATGGGGGAGTGAACGTACTTGGTGGACAAGGAAGTTCCGAGGCAGCACCGTCAAGGACCGCCCAGGACGGAGGCAAAAAAAAGAGACCTGCAGCAGAGTAAAGAAGAAAAATCCCACTGTGGGTGTGAGTGTTGTGTTTTGGTTTGTGTTTTTTTATTTTTTATTTTTATTTTTTTTATTTTTTATTTATTTTTTATTTATTTTTTTATGTTTATTATTATTATTTTTTTTTTTGTGTGTTGTTGTAAAATGGTGATCGGGGTGAGCCCCAACATGAATAAAATGAGTGTGGTAGCAGTTCTTCTTCTTCTGCTGTTTTTTTTTTTTTTTTTTTTTTGAATAAAAAATAATAATACAATAAAATAGAGAAAGGAAACAGAGAAAAAGAAGATGATGGATGTGCAAAACAGTGTGTGGTTCGTGTCCGGGTCAAAAGATGGAATAAAAATAAATATAAAAAAATATGAGTGGGGAACAAGTGTAGGTATGGATGTGTATAAAATAAGAATAAAATAAATGAGTGGAGAAGGGTGGTGTGTAAAGTGTGAAATGTAATGATGAAATGTGTGTGCGCCTCGTGTATGGGTGCCCAGCTGCCCCCCTCAAAATGCAACCCGAGAGAGAGAGCCTGTTTTTATTTTTGTATTTTTTTTTTTATTTTTTTGGAAAACCGTGCGTGTGTGTTGGGTGTGTGTGCTATGTGTGTTTTAGCCCAGATGCTCTCTGTCTCCACCAAAATGGCCAATAGTCCGAGTAACAACTCTAGGCAAACAGTCAGTCACAACTCTAGGCAACTTAGACGAAGTCGAGAAAGTATTCAACAAGTTCGACGCCAATGGCGACGGAAAGATCGTCTCCTCCGAGCTCAGATCCATTCGGAGAGCTCTCGGCACCGTCTCCTTAGAACGGGGTATGAAAACCCTCTTGATGGCAGAAAACCAACTTCCCGTCTTCCCCATGTGTCTAGCATCACTTTTCCTTCCTGAAGAAGTTATTTTTTCATCCTTCCAAACACCAAGAACTGGGAAGATCTTTGAAAAGTTGAAGCTTCCATGTTTCGTCAATGCCTTAGAAGCTCTGTTTCTGAGAGAAGTGAATTCTTCATTTGTGAGGACTGAGTAGAGCATTTCCATGGGAAGAAGAAAGTAGAGTTGGCGGCGGCGGCGCTCAAGCTCCTCGTCGGCGGAGAGTCCTGGAATGCGGTGGCCGACCTTGAGATGGGTTGAGTCGCAGATGAAGTGGCCCGGATTCTCTACCATGAGCTCGGCTGCTTTTATAGGTCTTGTGTAGATTTCAAGTCTTCCATCAGAGAACAACACCTTTACTACTTCTACGCCATTGCTGCAGATTATTGAAGGAGCACAGGATGTTGCTGCATTACCCATGACTGAAGGATGAATGAATAGAATGAATGTGAGGATGGGCACAGAGACGGGTTGTAAACAGAGATAAGCAAAGAGATCAAACTGATATTATTTGGATATAAGCGTTTGCAGCTATGGATGGAAGTGTATTGGGTGTGAGAGTGTTAGAGAGCATGCCCGAGGGAGGGGGCTAGGACAGTGACTGAGATAGAAGAAGCTAGCGTATGTGTAGAGGTCCGGCGGGCGGCCAAGGCGAGGGTGCCACCCGCCGGTGAAGCAGAATGACTAGGTTGTTAACCTTGCTCTGATACCATGTAAGAATTTATGTATTATTAATTGATTCTTGATTGATATGTTGATGTATTACAAGATTGATAAATTACAATTCCTATACAATCTATATATAGAAGAAAATGTGGTAGTAGGTGTAGTGGAGGTGATAGTGGGTTAGGTGAAGTGGAGTGTGTGGTGAAGTGGAGGTAGGTGAAGTGGAGTGTGTAGTGGAGTAGGTGAAGGTAAAGATGGGAAATTCTAACAATAAGCACTAATATTAATAAATAATATACGAGAAAAAAATAAAGAAAAAAAGATTTGATCTTTATAACAAAATAGATCACAAGATTTTATTTTTATCAATTTAAATCCTAATATTTTAATTTTTATTCAATCTAAATCATTTGCTTATTTTTGTTAAATAAAATTGACCAAAATTTTTTTTATTCATAATCTCAATGTAGGTATATATAAATGTTTAAAATATAATTTTTCGTTTAGTTTAATGATCAAAATATTTTTTTTTATTAATTTTGCTTATTAAAATTAGACAAATAATTTACATTGAAAATAAATCAAATTATTAGAGTTTAAATTGCCAAATTTAAAAAATTTAATCTTATTTTGTTACAATGGTCAAATTCTTTGTAATTTCTTTTATCTAAATGATATATGAGAAAAAAAAATAAAATGAAAATAATTACAGAACAATGTCCGGGGCACAGCACCATTCTTTGCATTAAAAAAGGAAAAAATCAAATCAAATCAAATCAAAAAATTAAAATATTTGATATTCCAACATAACTTAAATTATCTTGAACTCACACTCTTGGATGAGAATGTCTTAAAATTTGAAAATCGTTATTTATTTAAATTTTTATTTAAGCAAGCAAACAATGTGGCTCTGTTTGGCTGGCAGAATCTGTTTTCATTTTTTTTTTTACAAAAATTTAAAAATTAATTTGATGATCTTTTTTTAAAAAACTTCAAAAACATTTATCATTTTCACATAGTTTTTATCATTATGGAGGATTAAAATAATTCTTAAAAATTTTTAAATATTCTTTTCATATATATTTTTGTCAAACAAATTTTATTTATTTATTTATTTTTATTTTTTTAAATTCTGAGAATCAAACTAAACAGACCCTACATGGTTTTGAATATTACAAAAATCAAACTATTAAACTATAAATCCCCTACAATTTGCTATACCATTTTTTTTACTTTTATTTTTGGAAGTTAGAAAGTTAATTCTGAGTGCGTCATGGTTGGATTGAAAAATCCAAACAAATTTAAGCTTCTATCAAATAGTTATCAAAGGACGATGTGAAATTTCTTTTTGTCCCAATAAAAATAACTTTAATTGTGAATTTTAAGTAGAGAACCAATTCGTAATCAGAGTAATATTTGCAATAAATTAGAAAGAGAATAAGAGGAGATTGTAGAGAAAAATGTAATTAATTAACTAAATAATTCAATTACAAGTAGAAAGTATATTTACCTTACTATTACTACTTCGAAATTGAAATACGAATATGGTGTCAAAACATGTATTACATATAAGAAAATGGTTGAAGTCACTAATTAGTGGTAGTATTAATAATATGGTAGTGGGCCTCACGCACTACTATACAGTGTTGCTGTGACTTGTTTTTTTTTTTTTTTTTAGTAAGTGTCAAGTGCTTTAGAGTACCACTTTTAATGGTCCCCACTATTCCAGATTCTATGTTTTTCAGTTGAGTTGTATATATGTTTTGTCTTTAGAAAGATAATTTTTCTATTTTTTCTATAATATTTTTTTTATAATTTTTTACCACAATAAAACACATTAATGAATGACATAATATAGCAGCTCAAAATTAAAAATTAATCTAAAATATTAAAAGTATTACATTTTTATTACACAACAAAATTAATGCAGAAAAAAAAAAAGGGACAGAACATCCTAATCCCGAGTGCGCAGAGGGACCCAGAGCACCAATTTCTTCACATGTAAACCTGTTCTTGTGATACCCATAAATAATATGAAAACCTATTATTAGGTTGCAACATAATTTTTATTTCTTTGTATATATAGTGTAATACATAAATAATATAATAATTAATAAGATTAATTACACCAAGATCACCAGAATTACTAGTCATATCACTTTACTTCTCATCTATGAACTCATACGTTTTTAAAAAAGATATTTTATTCCCATGCATTGTTGGGATTAATTTTTAGTACTGATAAAATTTGGTATATTGGTTGGAATAAATATTGGGAAAAAATATTGAGATCTCTAAAAAGTCTCCATTAATTTCACACGCAATAACATGTCAAATTACGTGTCAATTTTTGATTTTTCATAAATCCAATCTAAAAAATCCCAACTCTTTAATTTCTAGTATTGATATAATTTGGTATATCAGTAGGAATAACTATTAGAAAAAATATTGAGATCTCTAAAAAGTTTCCATTAGGTTACCGCAATAGCACTACAAATTAAGAATCAAATTTTAATTTGTCATAAGCTGAATCGTAAAAATCCAACTCCATTAACATGTCATTGTTGGTGAATTGTGAATTTCTGTTACTACTTATGGGTATTGATTTCCGACCACACAATCAAAGGGAGAACTCAGCTGGAGAGTACCGGCAGAATAGATTAAGCTCAACAACCTGTAACAAGAAGATGAGAATTCCCGCGGTGATTCGTCCACCCGGAGGCACGCCGATAATCAATTCAGTAAATCTTATCTCTTACAGATATCAAAACAGTACTTAATACACAAGTCAAAGCATCACAAATAAAAGCATACCTTAGACCCACGAGGGTGCCTTCATTTTATAATAATCAGTGTCCAACTTCTCCTAGAAGTCTAACTTCATGAGACTCTATCCTTTACGATGATAACATCTATCATAACTCACACTATTCAGATTAAGATGAACTCCCTCAAGAGTCTCATCTCTATGCAAATAAGTAGCTTGTTGTCATCTAGAACTCTAGTCCTCTATCCAAATATCTCAGATTCTGGTATTCCCGCAGAGTACCTCGACAGTGCCCTAAACATCTCGGCAAACATGATCTGCCCACGTGGCATCTCGGCTGACACCTATCAGTCACGCGTCACTCTATCACATCAAAGCTGCCCACGTTGCCTAATAGGCGCGTTGTCCAACGTAATTACATAATGTTTTGCCACCTTTTCATTTTTGGACAAAACTTCCTTCATTTTCTCTCTAGAAGTCTCCATTGCCATTCCTTTAAAGCTTTTCCTATTACAACTCTGGTCACCACTTTCGGCGTGCACTCAACAATTCCGTTCCGATCAGAGCATTGTCTGACTTCGGCGAATCCTATTCCGGTAGTTACTTCCTCTACTCCGCTTTGTAAGTCCTTGATTTCTTTTATTTTAACTTCAGTTCTCCACTGTTTTGAAATATATTCCTTTTGTGGATTGTTACACATCACACACGGTATCTGTATCTGCATCTACATTACCATCTTGTATTCATATTCGAATCCCATTGTTCTATGCCTTCGCTTGCTTGGACTCATATTTTGTCCTTCATGTTCTTGAGCCCATCTTCACATTTTCTGTATTTGACACATATCTTCTGGTACACTATCACCAAATTCTATCAAGTTTGTTCATACCCTGAATCTGTCAATGCTCTATTTTTCTTATATTCTTGAATCTTTTATCACTATTTCATGTTTTTGAGACCTGCTTCTTCTACCTGTTCTTGCTTAGTAGTAGATTACTGCCTCTGAATCTTGTACATTTCCATAGACTTAGGTTTGAGATTTGCTAGCATTCCCAGTTAGGAAAACTGAAACAAATTTTTCCTCCAAGCCTTCCTTAGAACCCTGAAACTAAGAACCCAGCAGTCCTTAGGTTTCGCTAAGGTCTTTAACCCACACGGTCCAACCTTCCTTGCCAAAATCGCCCTAGCTGAGGTCATGGGGATATTCAAATGGAGGGTAGACTCCTCCAATAAACTAGAATACTTTCATCAGGAATTCTCCATTTTAGCCGATGTTCATCTAAGGTTAGCTGCGAAGGTGGATTCCATGATGCTTGGAGAGACATATATGCCTTCCCTGTAGTATCTATCATCGAGGGTGGAGGCAAATTCCATCTTGACATCTTGTTTTGCATCTGGCCAAGGTGCTTTCTTTTGTATCTGAAGAAGTTGTCTTTTTGAATGCAAGTCCTCTTTTGGACTAAGTGTTGAATGCTTGTCTCTGTCTTTACTATCTTGTATGATTCTATACTTGGAATATTTCTGTACTTCTCCCATGTATACTTTAACTGTGTAATCACTTCGGAGTTAGAACACATCTGACATATACCACCTCGGATCCACTTCATCTCGGGTGCACCCTTAGTTGGTCACCTCGGACCAACTTACCTCGGAGTTCACTTTTTACTGTGATCTCAGCCAACGGGCACTTTATAAAAATTCTATGAATAACATTCAACAAGTATTCCTTCCTTACTTGAACTTGCTGTCTTTTATCAAGATTTCACCCTTCTAACATTTCCAAGTTTGACGACCTAGTTGGTGATCTCGGGTAACCAACAACTCGAGTGTCCCCTCATCTGGATACCTCGGTTGACTCCAACTTGTAAATTTTTTCAAAAATTTCAACAAGTGTCAAACCTATTCCTGCTTCCTTCATCTAGATACCTCAGCTGACTCTAATTTCAAAGTTTCAACAAGTGTCAAGCCTATTCCTTATTCCTGCTTCAACTCTACCATATGGTAAGTCTAAGTTATTCGTCATGTTTCATTCAGAAATATCTCCAACGTAGTTCAACTCTACCATAGGCAAGTTGAGTTCAACTCTACCATATGGTAAGTCTAAGTTATTCGTCATGTTTCATTCAGAAATATCTCCAACGTAGTTCAACTCTACCATAGGCAAGTTGAGTTCAACTCTACCATATGGTAAGTCTAAGTTATTCGTCATGTTTCATTTGGAAACATCTCCAACTTATTTCAACTCTACCATAGACAAGTTGAGTTCAACTCTATCATATGGTAAGTCTAAGTTATTTGTCAAGACTTTTCGGTCTTATTGCATAATCATGGATTTCAACAACATTTTCATGCTTTTTTACATAGGCTTCGGCATCTTTTTACATGTAGGGCCACCAGAATCCCTGCGATATAGCTTTATGGGCAAGAGATATGCCCCCTGCATGGCTTCCACATACTTCTTTGTGAACCTTGCGTAAGAAGTCTTCAACCTGAGAAAGATGTACACATCATAATAGAGGTCCAGTAAAAACCCTTTTATATAGATGGCCTTCTACTGACAGGCAAAACTTGGCTGACTTCAGTCTGATCTTGTGTGCTTCTTTTTTGTCTTCAGAGATCTGGGATCTGCTTACTTAGTTTGAGTTCTTCTCGTCTCGAACCTAATTATCTAGGCTGAGATCTTGTCTTCTGGAATCTGGGATCTGCTTACTCAGGCTGACATCTTATTTTCTCAGACTTCATCATCTAGGCTGAGATCTTGTCCTCTGGAATCTGGGATTTGCTCACTTAGGCTAAGCTCTTCTCTTCTTAGACCTAATCATCTAGGTCGAGATCTTGTCTTTTGGAATCTAGGATCTGCTCACTCAGGCTGAGCTCTCGTCTTCTCGGACCTAATCATCTAGGCTACGATCTTGCCTTTTGAAATCTGGGATATGCTCACTCAAGCTTAGCTCTTCTCTTTTTGGGCTTAATCATCAAGGCACAGATCTTGTCTTCTAGAATCTGGGATCTGCTCACTTAGGCTGAGCTCTTCTATTCATAGACCTAATCATCTAGGCTGAGATCTTATCTTCTGAAATCTGGGATTTGCTCACTTAGGCTGAGCTCTTTTCTTCTCGGATATAATCATCTACGCCGAGATCTTGTCTGTTGGAATCAAGGATCTGCTCACTGAGGCTGAGCTCTTCTCTTCTCAGACCTAATCATCTAGGTCAAAATCTTGTCTTTTGGAATCTTAGATCTTCTCACTCAGGCTGAGCTCTTGTCTTCTCAGACCTAATCATCTAGCCCAAGATCTTGTCTTTTGGAATCTGGGATCTGCTTACTCAGGTTGAGCTCTTCTCTTCTCGAACCTAATCATCTAGGTCGAGATCTTGTCTTTTGGAATCTGGGATCTTCTCACTTAGGCTAAGCTCTTCTCTTCTCTTCTCGAACGTAATCATCTAGGTCAAGATCTTGTCTTCTAAAATCTAGGATCTGCTCACTCAAGCTGAGGTCTTGTCTTCTCGGATCTAATCATCTAGGGTGAGATCTTGTCTTCTAAAATCTGGGGTCTGCTCAGTCAAGCTAAGCTCTTCTCTTCTTGGACCTAATCTTCTAGGCCTAGATCTTGTCTTCTGGGCACCAGTTTTGGCATGTCCTGTAATGGAGATGTCGGTTGTATCACGTTATTCTGTATCATAAGGTTGACAACTGTATGTAGATCTACCAACTTATTTGCTATGTCTTTCAGTTTTCTCGTCTTTTCTCCGGCATCTGTCCCTCAATACCTGAAGGTCGCTTTCATGGTAGTACTTATCTCAGCTACCCTTATTTGTTCCCTTCTTGGCCTTTGGTGACATTATTCACCTCAAGATTCACTTATTGCACTTTTTCGTTACGGTCTCCTCCTTCAGTGTTAGGATCCGCATGCTCCTCCTCCTCACTATGGATGTTGTCCCCAATCCTCACTTCCTGTCCGTTGTTGGCCATCTATCCTTACTAAGTTCCCACCAACGGCGCCAAATTATGGGTGGTGATTTCTGACCACACAACCAAAGGGGGAACTTAACAAACCAATCATCTTTTCTATATTGCGTATGTTTATCCTTAAGGAACTTAACAAACCAATCCTGCCTTGCTTGGAAAACTAACTCCTTGATTGCAATCTATGTTGATTCTTTATATCTTCACAAGCTGCCACGTGTCCATGAAAAGCCCTTTGCCTTGATCTTGGGAAAAACGGCTCTACCTTTGTAAA